TTTGTTTTTGAGACGGAGTTTCGCTCTTGTTACCCAGGCTGGAGTGCAATGGCGCGATCTCGGCTCACTGCAACCTCCGCCTCCTGGGTTCAGGCAATTCTCCTGTCTCAGCCTCCAGAGTAGCTGGGACTACAGGCACGTGCCACCATGCCCAGCTAATGTTTTGTATTTTTAGTAGAGACGGGGTTTCACCATGTTGACCCGGATGGTCTCGATCTCTTGACCTCGTGATCCACCCGCCTCGGCCTCCCAAAGTGCTGGGATTACAGGCGTGAGCCACTGCGCCCGGCATTAATTTTTGTATTTTTAGTAGAGACATGGTTTTACCATGTTGTCCAGTCTGGTCTCAAACTCATGACCTCAGGTGATGCGCCCACCTTGGTTTCCCAAAGTGCTGGGATTACAGGTGTGAGCCACTGCACCTGGCCCTTTGCCTATTTTTGAATCTGGTTGTTTTGTTGTTGAGTTGGAGGAGTTCTTTATATATCCTAGATATTAATTCTTTATCAGCTGTATGATTTGAGCATATTTTCTTCCATTCTGTGTGTTGTCTTTTCTTTTTTTTTTTCTTTTTTTTTTTTTTGTGTCAGAGTCTCGCTCATTTCCCAGACTGGAGTGCAGTGGTGTGAGCTCGGCTCACTGCAGCCTCCACCTCCAGGGTTCAAGGGATTCTCCTGCCTCTGCCACTTGAGTAGCTGGGGTAATAGGTGTCTGCCGCCATGCCCAGCTGATTTTTGTATTTTTAGTGGAGACAGGGTTTCAGTGTGTTGGTCTTGAATGCCTGACCTCAGGTGATCCACCTGCCTTAGCCTCCCAAAGTGCTGGGATTACAGGCGTGAGCCACCATGCCTGGCCATTTCTGTGGGTTGTCTTTGTATTCTCATGATAGTGTCCTCCGATGCACAGAAGGTTTCCATTTTGATGGAGTCCAGTTCACCTTTCTGTGTTGCACCCTCCTTGTTTGATGGTCCTCTTTTCCCATGGCTTCCTTGCCTGGGTTCCTGGTGTTTCTCCTTCTCTGGCTGCCTATCCTCAGGTCTTCTTTGCTGGATCCTTTAACTGCCTGGGATTCCATAAAGGGCCATTTTCCTGAGGACTGGTACCAACCCCTCGCCATCTGCAGGTGCAGACCTGAAGGAGCGGGAACAGATGAGTGAAGCAGAGGTGGGGGTGTTTGTCCAGCGACTCCGGGGCCTGATGAATGACATCGGTGAGGATCTGGGTGTGGAGTGGAGGAGAGGTTTTGGGGGCACCTGCTGATGACAGCCCCGCCACCCCCACCAGCCTCTAAGGAGAGTCTTCTTTCTGTTTGGAGTTCTGTCGGAAGACAGAGGACTTTCCCAGGGGGATAGGCACAAGGAATTCACTGGGGGAGGATGACAGAGGGCAATTCTCCCAGAGAGGGAGCTCTGGCTCTTCAGCTTTTGTGCCCCGCTCTACCCTCAGAGTTCAAGCCTGGCCATTCCAAAGCAGTCAAGTTTTGCCAAGCATGCTTTCAGGCTTTGACAATTGCTGTTCCCTTTGCCTGGGTTACCGCTTCTTGGTTACTTGAACTTTTACTCATCCTTCAAGGCCTCCAGTACCTCCTCCTCCAGGAAGCCTTCCCAGTCCGTCCTCCCATCTTCCTTTTGTTGGTGCACTGATGATCCTGGGTCACTAATGCCTGATACACACTTGTCTTCCCCATGAGACTGAGCCCCATGGGAACAAGGTCTATGTCTGATATATTCCGTGTTCCCAGTTTCCAGCACCCAGCACAGGACTTGGAATAGAGACAGGTCCCAGGGAGGACAGCAGATTAGGCCTCGGCAGGGATCATCCAGCCCATTCCTGTTCCCTAACTGACTCCATAACTTTCCCTAAAGGGAAAACTGGCTTTTAAGATAACCCTGGCTGCAGGAGGCAGAGGTTGCTGTGAGCCAAGATTTTGCCATTGCACTCCAGCCTGGGTGACAACAGCGAGCCTCCATCTGGAAAAAAAAAAAAAAAAAAAGGCTGGGCATGGTGGTTTACACCTGTAATCCCAGCACTTCTGGAGGCCAAGGCAGGAGGATCATGAGGTCAGGAGTTCAAGACCAGCCTGGTAAACCTGGTGAAACCCCATCTCTACTAACAAAACATTTTTAATAATGTGCTTGGTGTGGTGGCAGGTGTCTGTAATCCCAACTATTCAGGAGGCTGAGGCAGAAGAATCGCTTAAACCCAGGAGGCAAGGTTATAGTGAGCCAAGATCACACCACTGTACTCTAGCCTGGGTGACAGAGCGAGACTCTGTCTCAAAATAAAAGAATTAAGATAGCCTGGCTGAGGGTCCATGTGAGGTCCTGAGACATGGGTCAGGTTCACTGAGGTCTCTGTCCCAACCAACTTGCCCCTCCCCAGCCTTGAGTCTCTGTCCTGGTTCCACCAGGGCCTCACAGGCTGAGTCCTTCTTCATCTCCACAGCAGCCTTCCCTGCACCCACCATTGCGGCTATGGATGGGTTTGCCTTGGGCGGAGGCCTGGAGCTTGCCCTGGCCTGTGACCTCCGAGTGGCAGGTACTGGGCCAAGGCTGGGGGGAGGGGTGGGGCTAGGGAATCGGGGGTGAGTGAAACAGGGTAAGTGTGGTCATTCTGCAGTCAGCCACTGTTCTTGGCTTCCAACCAAAAGCAAAACTAAGGCAAGGCAGGGCACACAGGGTGCTCAGGCAGAAGCTGCTTCCCCTCCTGGTGCAGCCACTAGCTGCAATAGTACCCGTCACCTGTCAGAACCTGCTTCCTTCATTCTGGGAATATTTTACCAACCTCAGAGCAATTGCTATTAGGATCCAAGGAGGTCAAAGAGCAATGTCCAATCTTCCAATTCTGTCCACGTCAGATTTATCTACCACGTTTTAGAAAAAGGTGAACCCCAGGGATAGTTTGTCAGTGGCTGAGCTAATCACAAAGGTGCCTGGGCAGGAATACTAGCACCAGCCAAATTTGCATTACTTGTTCTGAGCAATTGAGCTTTGTCTGAAGAGTGGGAGGGGACAAAGAAGATAAGGATCCCTTTTTCAGGTGACTGACAGTGATGAGGAGCACCCTTCTTGGATGCAGTTAGGCAAAGTCTGAGTGTCCTCTCTCCTCCTCTCACTGCTCTCTCCTGCCACCCCAGGAGTGACATATAAAAATGTGTAACTCCAGGCATGAAAGTCGCTGCTATCTACACTATGCAGTCAAAGAAAATGAACTGACCAGGTGTCTGGGTACCAAAATACCAGGCTGGTCCAGCCCCAACTCTGGTTCTCACGTGCCCATGTTCAGGCGACTAACTCTCAGGATTGCAGAAGACTAAGGGGGAGTGAATGTAAATCCACTCCCTTCTGCTCACGTTTACATGGCCCATGCTGAGAGAATTCAGGAGGCAGACCTGGGGGGGCGGTGCATCAGTCAAGGCAAGTTTCTCAAGGGAAGGAAGCAGAACTCAGGAGGACATGGACTGCAACAGGGAAATTTCAGGCTGTGACAAATCTGGGAGGGACAACTGTAGTGGGAGCAGGAGTCACTGACACTCTAGGCCAGGCCAGGCCAGGGCTAAGCCGGAGAATCTATTAATAGATATCAGGCACTTCCTAGGAATTCTGCTTGTTCCAAGGGTCGTGCCTCATGTGATCCTTAGTGGCAATCTGAGGCAGACAGAAGAGGGCCAGCCATCTGTCTTCCACCTTTGAGGCATGGGAGGTGAGAGACTTGCTGGTGACACACAACTCCACCGAAGGGGCATGGTGAAATAAGGGCCTGGGCTCCTGACTTCTGGGCTAGGGCTCTTCCAAAGGCAGAGTCTGGCGAGGCCTGGCTATGGCCAGACCATGGGGGAAGTGGCTAGAGGGGCGAGTAGAGAACACAGGCAGATGCAGCCCCAGGGATTAGCACTGGGGGACTGGGGAGGGAGGCCTCACTCTGTTCTGTCTGAGCAGCTTCCTCGGCCGTCTTGGGACTGATTGAGACTACTCGAGGGCTCCTCCCGGGGGCAGGTAATTGCAACTGCAGCACGTGCCCAATTCCACCCCACCCAGGGTCCTTTACTGCCTTCCTTTTTTGCCCTCTGTTCTGAGCTCTGCCCTCTCATCCGAACTCTGCTCCTCTGAGAAGTCTTGGCTGAGTACCAGGCTGGGCCTTCTCTTGAGTTCCCACTTCCCATGCTGATTCCCACCCTACCCCCTCCATCCTGGCAGGAGGGACTCAGAGGCTGCCACGCTGCCTGGGGGTGGCCCTGGCGAAGGAGCTCATCTTCACCGGTCGACGACTGAGTGGAACGCAGGCCCATGGACTAGGGCTGGTGAATCACACTGTGGCCCAGAATGAGGAGGGTGACGCTGCCTACCACCGGGCACGAGCACTGGCCCAGGAGATCCTGCCCCAGGTGTGGTGACAGCTCAGCACAAGGAGGGCCAGGGTCGTGGGGGAGGCATGTGTTGGGCGGAGTGTCTCCTTGGGCGGCACATCCATTCACCCAAAGACACGATTAAACCTCTTTGGAGTTTATTTAACCATCCAGTAAACACAAGTCAAATTTAAATTTCAAATTAAAATGTAAATTGAATTCCAAAGGGCTGGAATCAAATGGGGTTGAAAGCCCTCAGAACTTACCGCTGTCCAGTAGACTGTTCTGAGATGAGATAAATGTTCTATACTTGTGCTTATCCAGTATGGGAGCCACTAGCCAAATGATGTAAATTGGATACAATGAACGTAGTTCCTCATTCACACTAGCCACATTACAAATGCTAATAGCCACATGTGGCTTGTGGCTACTGTACTGTATAGCACAGCCTTAAAATGCCCCGAAGACTTAAAAAGCAAGATTCTAAAATGAATACACAACTTCCAACCCGTATTTCTTACCATACTACCTGGTGGAGATAAGAAATGCAGGACATGTATTAAGACTTTTTTTTTTAAGAGACAAGGTCTCATTCTGTCATCCAGGCTGGAGTGCAGTGGTGCAAGCATAGCTCACTGCAGTTTTGAACTCCTGGGCTCAAGTGATCCTCTCGCCTCAGCCTCCCAAAGTGTTAGAATTACAAGCGTGAGCCACCGTGCCTGGCCAGGACTCATTTTTTAGCCAGATGTGGTAGTTCAAGCCTGTAATCCCAGGTGTTTGGGAAAAAGAATTGCTTGAACCCATGAATTCAAAGCTGCAGTAAGGTGATCCTGCCGATGTACTTCCAGTCTGGGCAACAAGGCAAAAGCCCATTGCTCAAAAAACAAATGAAAACAAAGCAAATGCCGGGCGCGGTGGCCCAAGCCTGTAATCCCAGCACTTTGGGAGGCCGAGGCGGGTGGATCACTAGGTCAAGAGACCGAGACCATCCTGGTCAACATGGTGAAACCTCGTCTCTACTAAAACTACAAAAAATTAGCTGGGCATGGTGGCGCGTGCCTGTAATCCCAGCTACTCAGGAGGCTGAGGCAGGAGAATTGCCTGAACCTAGGAGGCGGAGGTTGCGGTGAGCTGAGATCGCGCCATTGCACTCCAGCCTGGGTAACAAGAGCGAAACTCCATCTCAAAAAAAAAAAAAAAAAAAAAAAAAACAAAAAAAAAAAAAAAAAAAAAAAAAAAAAGCCAACACTAAAAACCAACCAAAAAAAAAAACCCCTTATTTAAAAAATTCCTCAAATAAGCCAGGCATGGTGGCTCACACCTGTAATCCCAGCACTTTGGGAGGGTAGATCACCTGAGGTTAGTAGTTAAGTGATCAACATCGAGAAACCCCATCTCTACTAAAAATATAAAATCAGCCAGGAGTGGTGGCACATGCCTGTAATCCCAGCTACTCGGGAGGCTGAAGTAGGAGAATTTCTTGAACCCAGGAGGCTGAGGTTGCAGTGAGCTGAGATCATGCCATTGAACTCCAGCCTGGGCAACAAGAGCGAAACTCCACCTCAAAGAAAAAAAAATCCTCAAAAACAGCATGGAAGGGATTGAGGCATAAAAGACTACACATTGGGTACAGTGCACCAAAATCTTAGAGACCACTACTAAAGAACTCATCCATGTAACCAAAAGCCACCTGTTCCCGAAAATCTATTGAAATAAAAGAAAAAAATTTAAAATCCTCAAATAATCACCTCTCAGCATGGTACTCAAGGGTATCAGCTGCAGGGCCCAAAGCTGTCCGGGGCCTCCCAAGACCCTTCAAGGGTCTGCTGGCTTCTCACAACTCCAAGGGGGCCCAGGATAGAAGGGGCTGAGTAAAGGAGATCCTGAGTTTCCATAAAGATCAAAAGTGGCTGAAATGGAGCTAGGTTAAACTAATTTATAATAAATTTGTCCTAGCCTATAATGCTCGGTACCTTAATACAGTGTCTCAGCTCTTAGAATAATGCAGTTGAGCTGAGTATCCCCATTTTATTTGTGAGAAAACCTATAAAAGTTCAGTAACTTGCCTTGATGACAAGGTCACAAAAAATGATTGCAGTATTAAAAAAAAAAAACAGTGCTCGCTTCGGCAGCACATATACTAAAAAACTGGAACGATACAGAGAAGATTAGCATGGCCCCTGTGCAAGGATGACATGCAAATTCGTGAAGCATTCCATATAAAAAAATAAAAAAGAGGCCGGGTGCGGTGGCTCAAGCCTGTAATCCCAGCACTTTGGGAGGCCGAGGCGGGTGGATCACGAGGTCAAGAGATCGAGACCATCCTGGTTAACACGGTGAAACCCCGTCTCTACTAAAAATACAAAAAATTAGCTGGGCATGGTGGTGCGTGCCTGTAATCCCAGCTACTCAGGAGGCTGAGGCAGGAGAATTGCCTGAACCCAGGAGGCGGAGGTTGCGGTGAGCCGAGATCGCGCCATTGCACTCCAGCCTGGGTAACAAGAGCGAAACTCCGTCTCAAAAATAAATAAATAAATAAAACAAAAAGAAAAAAGAAAAAAAAATACAACACTGGTATTTTGGCATTTATTTTGCACAATACAGAAAGCAATATAAAAATGGTATTTTATTTTTAAGAGAGCAAAATATGTACAACATTTTAAAAACTAACGCATTTCATATATATTTATAAATGTCACAAAACAAAATTAACCATACATCATTTTAATATTGACAGATATTAATCATATAAAAGTAACCATTTTGGCTGGGCATAGTGGCTCACACCTGTAATCCCAACACTTTGGGAGGCTGACGTGGGAGGATTGCTTGAGACCAGGGATTCAAGATCAGCCTGGACAACACAGACCTCTTTTGTATTAAAAAAGAAAATGTCAGACGCAGTGGCCCATTCCTGTAATTCCAGCACTTTGGGAGGTCAAGGGCGGATTGCTTGATGCCAGTAGTTCGAGACCAGTCTGGCCAATATGGCAAAACCACATCTTTACTAAAATTACAAAATTAGCCAGGCACGGTGGCTCATGCCTGTACTTACAGCTACTCAGGAGACTGAGGCATAAGAATCGCTCGAGTCTGGGAAGCGGAGGTTGCAGTGAGCTGAGATCGTGCCACTATACTCTGGTCTGAGTAACAGAGCAAGATTCTGTTAAAAGAAGAAAAAAGTATAATGTTGAGGCCAGACGCGGTGGCTCATGCCTGTAATCCCAGCACTTTGAGATGCCAAGGCCAGCAGATCACCTGAGGTTAGGAGTTCCAAATCAGCCTGGCCAACGTGGTAGAACCTGTCTCTACAAAAATTAGCTGGGTGAGGTGGCAGGCATTTGTAATCCCAGCTACTCAGGAGGCTGAGGCAGGAGAATGGCTTGAACCTGGGAGACAGAGGTTGCAGTGAGCCAAGATCATGCCATTGCACTCCAGCCTGGGCAACAGAGTGAGACTCCATCTCAAAATAAAAAAGAAAAGTATGGCCGGGCGCGGTGGCTCAAGCCTGTAATCCCAGCACTTTGGGAGGCCGAGGCGGGTGGATCACGAGGTCAAGAGATCGAGACCATCCTGGTCAACATGGTGAAACCCCGTCT